AGGAGCAGCCCTGAGGCGCCCCTCGACACAGGGGACACAGGAAGGTCCTGGTCCCGAAGGAAGGGGAGGGAGAGACTGGGGAAGACCAGAGACAAGGACACGGGAAGCCATGCCCCGAAGACGGGGCAAGGAGGGGTGGCCTAGACGGTGGTGCCACAGAAGAGTCTCGTGAGACAGGAGGCGACACGAACAGGGGGCAGACTCAGGACCAGACCTGGACGCAGCAGCAAACACCTGACCCGACGCTGCTACCTGACCGGACGCGGGGACAGGAGGAGACTCAGTGGTCAGGGTGTAGAGGCTCGACCCCGGCCGACGCGAGAACGTGGCCAAGTGCCGGCCTGTGCGTGCGTCCGTGCAGTGGGTCACCCGCTGACTCGCAGGAGTGAACTGGTGAACCCCCGCATCCTGTAGGTCTGCACCACTCACCAAGTTCGTCGAGAACGAGGGGAGGTACAGGCCAGACAGGGTGCCCGAGGGGGCAGCCGGACACGGGAGGACAGTGGAGAAGTGAGCGAGGACAGGACCCCCAGAGGGGTCAGCCAGGGAGACTGCAACCGGCCGACCAAGCGGCGTGAGTGTGGTGCGGTCCCGAAAGAAGGAGCGAGAAGCCCCAGAGTCAAGTGTAAAGGTGAGGGAGGCCGAAGCCAACGCGGTACCTGAGAGCGCAGCCTCACCCGCCCCTGAGGAAGCAGACTCACTAGCACCTAGAGCAGCAGCCGCACCTGTTCCTGGAGCAGGAGACTCACTAGCACCCAGAGCAGCAGCCTCACCAGTAGCTAGAGCAGCAGGTCCTATACCTGGGTCAGGCGGGACGCACAGGTGACCGGCACAGTCAGCACTAGTAGGCAATGCATACATGGCAGTGAGAATAGCATCATAGTCAAGAGCATATATATCTACCCTCTGCCTAAGCAACTCCACCCAGTCGGGAAGCTCAGCCTCGTCGCCAAACACGGTACGCCAGGCGTCGCTCAGACGGGCGAAGCAGCGGGACTGTGTATGACTATGTGTCCCACAAGGCTGACCAGTCCGAGTACCAGTGCGAATCACGTAAGAGCAGCGAACAGCACTGAGAGACCCTCCACTCTGAGCGTACCACTCACGAAGCTGGCGAGGCGTGAGAGACACGCGAGAGGGTCGCAGGAGCTGCATCTGGCCGCCACCACGAGTAGAAGCAGCAGGAGTGGTAGTAGGAGTAGCGTCGCCACCCCTACAGCCCCAACCAGCGTACCACTCACGCAGCTGCTGGGGCGTGAGGGACTCACGCAGGCGTCGCTGGGGCTGCATCTGGCTCCGCAAGTAGAAGCAGGAGCAGGACTAGCAGCAGGAAGGCAGGTAGCCAGGCAAGCCAAAAGGCAGGCAGGCAGGCAAGCAGGCGACGCGCAGCGTGCTAGCAGGGCAAGAGCTCACCAGTGGTGGGAAGAGTAGGCTCGGCGACTCAGCGGCTCGGCAGCTTGGGCGACTCGGGCGGCTCGGCGGCAAGATGGCTCGGCAGCAACTGCAGCTCAGCAGCTCGGTGACTCGGCGGCTCGGCAGCTCGGCGGCAGGGCGGCTCGGCAGCAACTGCAGCTCAGCAGTTCAGCGACCCGGCGGCTCGGCGGCAGGGCGGCTCGGCTGCTGGGCGGCTCGGGTGCAGGGCGGCTCGGCGGTGGGGCGGCTCGGCTGCTGCAGTGGGAGATGAAGGAGGAGGAGAAGCAGGGGAGGCCACACACCTGCCACCCCTCTGCTGGCCTCTCCCGTCGTCGGTCGAGGCGACCTGAGGGGGCCGCTTGCGGCCCCCGAAGGAGCCGCGACGGGCGACGGGAAAAGGGGGGGGGGTGGTGGGGGCCGGTAGGTGCAGCGGCGGGGCCAGCAGATGCAGTTGCGGGGCCGATAGAAGGGGACGGCAGGAGCCGTCAGGAGGGGACGGCGGGGCCGTCAGGAAGGGACGGCGGGGCCGTCACGAAGGGACGGCGGGGCCGTCAGGAGGCGACCGGGCCGCGACAGGGCGGCTGGGCCGGGATGGGGCGGGGCCGCGACTGGGTGGGGCCGCGACGGGGGCAGGCGGCGGGGCCGCGTAAGGGCCTGGGCGGGGCCGCGACAGAGCCGTCGGCGGGGCCGCGTGAAAGCCGGGGCGGGGCCGCGTAGAAGCCGGGGCGGGGCCGCGCGAGAGCAGGCGGCGGGGCCGCGAAGAAGCCGGGGCGGGGCCGCGCGAGAGCAGGCGGCGGGGCCGCGAAGGAGCCGGGGCGGGGCCGCGTGAGAGCAGGCGGCGGGGCCGCGTAAGGGCCTGGGCGGGGCCGCGACAAAGCCGTCGGCGGGGCCGCGTGAAAGCCGGGGCGGGGCCGCGTAGAAGCCGGGGCGGGGCCGCGCGAGAGCAGGCGGCGGGGCCGCGAAGGAGCCGGGGCGGGGCCGCGTGAGAGCAGGCGGCGGGGCCGCGTAAAGGCCGGGGCGGGGCCGCGACAGAGCCGGCTGCGGGGCCGCGTGAGAGCCGGCGACGGGGACGCGTAAGGGCCGGCGGCGGGGCCCCGTCAGAGAGGGCGGCGGGGCCGCGTCAGTGAAGGCGGCGGGGCCGCAGGGGAAATGGCGACCCGAGGGGTCGCTAAAGAAAAATCGCGCCTCGGGGGGCGCTTCGGTGGGCCAAAAAAAAAACGGTCCGTAGAAGGACCCGCTCTATACCATGTGAGAATAAGCGAACAGGGAATGGATGAACTAGAAGTGAAAGGAGTACAAGTAGTAAACCCTAGAATTGTGTACCCCCTATAGGCTAACCCACTGTAGCCTACACAAGCATAACATGTATAATGTTTGACAATGTTTGCTTCGATAGTGCAATTTTTACTGGCTCGCTCAATTGCACGCGAAATTTTGCTCATGCTAGAGTGACTTAAAATGAGATTATCTTTTGTGTATTGTTTTGATGTTTGTTTTTTTGTTCAAACCATGTATGTTAGGCCCCTTGGCCTAAATCCGCTAAAGATTAGCAGAGTTGACTAAGACGAGGATAAACGCGGCGGAAGACTTTGCCGAAAGGGAATGTCAGCGAAATATGTGAAGAAATGATTGAGAAACGGAAGGGTTGAATTATTATTGGTTGATAGTGGGGAACACAAGCAAGGTTGATATAGCATGCAAGATAGAATGATGGAAAGTACTTCGTGAGACTAGAAAGTAGAAGCAAGAAAAGTAGAGTGTCATGTGGCACAATGAAATCAAGGAAGATTTTAAGATAAGGGTGAGTTGGAAATTTATGTTCGGAATGAACAGTAAACACCCCTCTAACATTGTACGCAGTGGTGTGTATGTGTAGTAGCTCCACGTGGGAAATACCTGCTGATGTCTTGGCATACTCGTTGTCGCATGGGCGTCCACGTCACTTCAGTCCGAGGACACCACGGAGTTCGTCGTCCCTGATTTGTGCGTTGATTCTTACTTCGATTTCTGACCATTGTCGTTGTTGGTAACGGTGTAGATTAGCCGAGAGCCTTACTATTTGCAAAACGGCAGCCATTCTCACCAGACGAGGAGGCTTCGGCGCTTGTTGACGAGGACGCGCAGGACCCTCAGTATTCCGCAGAAAGTGGAGCCCTGCGGCGCGGAAGATTGGTCTGGTTGGATGTTCGTGATTCAAATTGCAGCTGCCTGAGTAGCGACGCGCCTCCGTCTTTCGCAGGTAGTGTATTGTACTGATACAGATCAGTAAGCAGCTGCTCATCATCGTCGCACACCCAGTCGCAACGGGCTATCACATCAAAAGCAATTTTTCCAATCGCAAAGCAAAAAGGAGCTCGGCGCGGCACGCGTGAACGCGCCGCAGATGCGGTACGCCGCACGCCATGTTTCCCAAGTCGTCCGATTAGTTGTCCAATCGGGTAACAGCATGTTGCAGAACGTCGATTGGAGCCCATTCCACCTAATCTTGTCGTCGTTGTCGTCGTCGATCACGAATGTTACATTCTACCAACCACTCAGGTGCTCATGTGGGCACTTCGTCAACCTCGTTTATTTCGCAAAAGCGGCAACCGTTTGTTCGTTCCCCTCGAGGACTACCAGCTGGCTCTTTCGTTCCCTCCAGAACCACAATTCGCCAAAACTCTTCCACCCACTCCGAAAAGCCAGCTCGCTCGCATCGTTCCCGTCTTTTACGTCATGCACCTTGCCACATGCGACACGGCGGGGACCCATCACTGTAGACGATCTCCTCCCACCACCAACTCCACCGAGCCCAGCCCCCCGCCAGTGTCGTGTCGTGTAGCTCCCTCCTCTCCCTCCCCCCACCCCACCCCACCCCACCTTACTTCAACTTACCGCAACTTACTTAACCCCACCTCACCCCACCCCGCCTCACCTCAATTCCTGTCCAGCCAGTTGCAGGACAGGATGCTCACTTGGAAGAACCATCCCATCCAGCACCAGAGATGATCTCTCCCCGTAGTCTGCAGCAGGCCCAGTAGGCCCCCAACCCAGCCTGTTTCCGTTTTTTGATCCGTTTTTTCCGCTCCAACTCTCGATTTTGATCTCTCGTTCGACATCCTGTCTCCCGTCCCGCGCGGATCCTTCAAAACCTCTCCTGCATTGACATCCAGTACAATTCAAAATCAGCAGTCTGCTGCCACCCAGCCTATCCCAGTACCTTACATCACATCCTAATCCATCCTGTCAGACACAAACTCGCGCTCGGCTCTCTGATTCGAGCACTCAGCGAAGTGACAGTCTGATCGACTCAGGCCCCGCCCATTGTCCTCCCTTCCCGATTATCTTGCACCACGACGATTGCACTTGAGTGCTATCGAGTGAACGTTTAATTGCGCCCCGCAGTTTTCGATTATACATTGTAAGATCGAGTGCTGGTCTCGCGCCCACCCGCTGCACTCCATCGGCCACTCTCGTGACATGATTTTTTCGTGTGATTGAAGTATCAACGATTCTTGGATCTCCCCGCGACACCTCCATACTTCGTCTAGTTCACAGCGATCTTCCAGCATTTTCCGAGTTTCCCTTCCGCATCCCCTCCCGCCACCATGGTTGCGCCGTCGTCTGTCGCTCTCGGCTCCTCCGCCCGCCCCGCGTCCCCCGTTTTCGCCCGCCGCTGCACCGGCACCAGTGACACACGCCAACGAGTCGTACCTTCCGACCTTCTCATCCCCGTGGGTTGCGGCGCTAACGGCGCCAGTGACTTCGAAGATTCTGCCTCCTTTAGCTTCTTCGGTCTCGGCAGTGCCGCGGGTTCCGCAATGACGGGCACCGTGCTTCGTCGCGATGGTGCCACCACTCCAAGGAGCCGAATCTCCATGACTCCTCCCCGCGGCCGCCCATCTCCGCCGAGGTTGCGCGCATCGTCCCCCCGCGTTTCGCGGGTGATCGTCACCGCTGCCTCAGCCGGCTCCAGCGGCGGGCGCGGTCTCCCTTCCGAAGAGCTTCCCCCTGGTGCGTCCGGCTCCGCCAACGCCCCGCTCCTTTCCGTGCTCCCCGCGCAGTCCTGGAGTTCCCAAGGGACGTCTCCGCGCGGATCGGCGCAGCCTTCGAGCCCGCACCAGCATGCGGCGCACGGTTCCCCCATGAGCACCATCGCCCCCATGGCTCCTTTGACCAGCTCCGCAAACGCCACCGTAACCGGCGGAAACTCCCAGCGCGACTCCCACGTGTGCGCCGCGACTAACGTCACCGTCGCTGCCTCAGCCGCCGTTACCGCCGAGATGGCTGGCGGGATCTCCGCCGCGCCCTCCGCTTCCGCGATCCTCTCGTCTCTCCCAAGGCTGGCGTCCCTCCCCGCGCTCCCCGCCATGCCCGCGCTGACCCTTGCGCTTCCGCGCATGCGGCGGCAGAAGGAGTGGTTCCAGGAGGAGTCCCCCGCAAATGTCGCGGATATCCCCGTGGCGGGGCTGCACACGGCGGAAGAATTCGAGGCGGTGATGATGGAAGTATCCATGGCAGCCGGCGCGGCCATGGGATCGGCTGAGGGTCGGCTGGTCATTGTGGATTTTTTCGCGCCGTGGTGTGATGCCTGCAAGGCCGTGTACCCAACGGTGTGCGAAATCGCTGAAAAGAACCCCGATGTTGTTTTCCTCAAGTTCAACCTGGCGGATAACAGAGACCTAGGCAAGGCCCTTGGAGTGAAGATCCTCCCGTTCTTCCACTTCTACCGCGGCCAGCCTACCAGGCTCGACGCCGTCTGCGCGACCATCAAGACTGTAAGACCCTTCCCCGATTCCCCTTAGCTCCACCTTCTGCCACGCCTATCGTGCCTTTGTGTTCGCTTCCTTATTAAACCCCCTCCTTATCTGTAGGGACTTCTATAATGGGCTTGACTAGTAGTCCCTTTCCCTGCCTTGTCCTGGTCACCTGTGCAGTACCCCCGCCTTGAAAAGTTCCTGAAGAAGTACAACGCCTAGAACGTGAAAATGGGTTTCCAACAGAACGTGGCGGTGTGGCTCACCACCACAGTACTTTTGAGCATCAAGTGCTGTTCTGCCGTGGAGCTTCCATTGATCCAACATTCTGCTGATCCAACATCATACTGCCATCCACCGCCATCCATGCACACAAGTGCACACACTTCCTGCCACAGCCAAAGCACACCCAGGCGACGATGGCTGCTCCACTGAAGCCCACTGGTAGCTCCTAAGCCTGACCAACTTTCTCCTGGAGCTGCCAAATACTCGGTGACTGGCAGAAGACCTGACTGGGTTGATCCGGTGCACCAAGAATGGTGCAGGATTTAGGAGGGGTTTAGGGTGATGGGTGATGCATATGCTGAAGAGGCCTTGCGGAGCACAAAAGTGCGCGTCTGGCCCTTGGCTCTGTGCTGTGGGTAGATCAGTAGTTGCTGAAAGCTCTCCTGAAAGGAGATGGGTCTGCAGTAAATATTAGTCCCAGAGCCATGTATGAAGTTGTAAATGTAAATTAGCTTGACAATGAATGTGCCACTGCTCTTGTAATGAATGTGAATTCATTACTGTAGAGGCTACTCCAAGCGAGGACAGCCCAAATTGTTCGCGTCAGTTTGGGTTCGGCCTACACTTCGCCCCGAACCACTTCCGAGTCTCCCTGCACCAATCGCGACACTTCCAACCCATCCACGTCCCGAGGTCCTCGCCTACCACGGTTTCGATCCTATAAATGCTTGGTTTTTTATCATTCTCGTCATTCTATATTCGACATTTTTTTTATTAAGTCTTCCGCGCACTCTTCTTAGTACAACTTATAACACTTGGTATCAGAGCCTAAGTTCCTAGGTTCCTCGTTATTTAGAGTGTATTACCCCTCGGGGGGGGGAACATGGAAGGATGCCGTAGTGATAGGAGCAGCGCAGTAGCCGGCCAGGAGAACGGATAGTTGCTCCTAGCGGCCATGTTTTTACGGGCGCTCCTGCTGCACAGACGGATCCTTGCCCTCGACGGTCGAGATGGACCGTGGCCTCCCTCCCCCCGGATGGCGGACAGCTTGTGCTGTCGTCGCTTTTAATTGTGTGCATTGATTTCGTCGTTTCCGTTAATGCCGGCGCTGTTTTTATGCGGCAGTTGGCATAAGGAAGATTGTCGTCACTGCATGCGCGAGATTCTCGGAGCAGCAGTCGTGCGAGTTGAAGTTTTCACATGGTCGTCAGCTGCACACGAAGAAATCGGAGTTAATGCGTGCGGCAAGTGGCGTCGGGCGATTTCGTCACGTTGCGCACGAGATTTTCGGAGGTCTTCGGCACGTGGTGATCGTCGTCACTGTACGCGAAGATTCGGGTGGCTTCACGGCAGAAACGACAGCTGGCCGAGCAGGCCAGGCGCATGGTGATTTGCGTCGGAAAATGCAACGAGAGACGGCGTGGCGACTGCCCGAAGAAAGCGGGGGTCTACCGTCGTCCCACCCGGATGTGGCCGGTGTGGCTGCAGGAGGGTGCGTCGTTGGCGTTTTTGGCAGAGCGGCACAGTATGGGATGGAAGTTGTTTTTCAATCCACCGAAAAGTTCGGGAAAAACCGCCTACGACTAGACTGCCTATCGCTAGGGTCCCTGCTGTACCTGCACTACGATCGGCGAAATTTTCGGAGCAACAGCAACGGCCGACATTTGTGCTTCAGGTGACACAGCACCCCCTGATCAAGGGTAGTTGCGCCGCAGACAGGACAGTACACCCGCGGGGCAACGATTCGGCGCAGTGTTTAGACCCGCGATTTATGGGGGTTCTACCGGCTACAATACATGGAGTTGCGTCGAGTTCGGGTCCAGCGAAAGAAACGGGTTTCGAGCTTCAGGAGGCGAGAATAATTACCCACGGGGAAACGCTCAAGCTGATGCCTAAACGCTTACGGCTAAGCGGCGGTAGCCGGATGGGTACCACTATCGGCCGAGGTTTCCGAACGTTTCACATACCTCACGCCCCGAAGGCCTCGAAGGCAAGGTGTAAGTCCTATTGGCCACTGGATCCAAAGGTGGGGCCCTGTGTTTAGCCCCGTGCTGGCTAAAAAGCGCGGGTATTGCGCCAGTTCGACAGCTGGGCGTACAAGAAATTTTCAAGGTAGCGACACTATTTCGGCCCCGACAAAACCGGATCATCGGAAGTAGTTACCCCGCCGAAGAAGTCGGAGCTGAAGAATTTGGTGCAGCTGTCGAAGTTTCTCCTGATTCAACGGTCTACCCGACGGCGGTGTAGCGACGATGAAGGAGTTTCCAAAGCTGTGGAGTTTTAAATGCGATAGACGCAGTGGGCAACGAAGCGGCCGGTCCGACTGTTTGATCCGATAAACATGACCCGGCTACGATAGCGTTCGCGCCTTCACCGAATGTCAGAAAAATCGCGGGCAACAAGGAGTTATACCTCATCCGACAAAAGCGGACGCTGGGTGAACGGCGGCAAGCGAAACTGTCGGGGGGTGAAGACAAAAACAAAATGGAGGGAAAGTTTTGGGTGATCCAACAGATCACTTGAGTGATAGGTTGAGAACGTGCACCACTCCACCGCGAATTTCGGAGTCTATTCGGTAGACACCCGAAAGGGTTTGATATCTTTACATGGAGGCGCGGCGAGGGGTGCATCGCCAAGGATACCTGGGATTCGCTAAGAGGCTTCGACGGGTATGAAGATGGGTGAACATCGGAGTACCAGGGTTAACGGCATAAACGTCGAGGCTACACGGCGGAAAATAACTTCGGGAATGCTGCCTCAACCATGATTTTCGGGATTAATTCCTACGGTGAGAGACGGGTTAACGTCTGCTCGCCAGCTGTTTCAGCGGTTTACGGTGTGTCAGGCTTATATGACTTAGCTTATGTAGGCTATAGTGGGGTAGCACATATGGGGTACAACACATTTCTAGGTTTTGTACTTGTATCCAACTTCCCCTTAGTCATTCCCATTCCTCGTTTCTTATCATGGTATCGAGCGGGTTCCCTAGTGGGAACGCTTCCTAGGGCCCACCACGATATATTTTTTTTCCTGCCCAGAGCGCGCTTCGCTCCTGCCCGAGTCGCGCCCCGTGTGCCCTCCCTACCGTCGCGCCCTCTCACGGCCCCTTCGCGTCGCCCTTAGCGGCCCCTCTCACAGCCCCTCGCGCCGCCCTTACGGCCCCTCGCGCCGCCCTTACGGCCCCTCACGCCGCCCTTACGGCCCCTCGCGCTGCCCTTACGGCCCCTAACGGCCCCTCGCACCGCCCTTACGACCCCTCGCGCAGCCCGTCGGCCCCTAGCGCCGCCCTTACGGCCCCTTAAGGCCCCTCGCGCCGCCCGTCGGCCCCTTGCGCCGCCCTTAACGGCCCCTTACGGCCCCTCGCGCGGCCCCCCTTCCGGCCCCTCGCGGCGCCCTTACGGCCCCTTACGGCCCCTTGCGCCGCCCTTCGCGGCCCCTCGCGGCCTCTTTACGGCCCCTCGCCGCCCTCCGCGGCACCTCGCGCCGCCCTTCAAGGCCCCCCTCGCCGCCCTTCGCAGCCTCTTGCGGCCCTGTCGCCGCCCTTCGCGGCCCGCCGTCGCCGCCCCTGCAGCAGCAGCCGCCGCAGTCCCTACAACAGCAACCGCCGCCGTCCCTGCAGCAGCAGCCGCCGTCGTCCCTGCAGCGAAAGCCGCAGCTGCCGCAGCCGTGACCAGCAGCAGCCGCCGCCACCTCCCTCGCGGCCGCAGCCGCCGCCGCCGCTGACTGCAGCCGCCGGTGTGCCTCGGCCCTACCGGCGTGCCTCGGCCCTTCCTGCGCGCCTCGGCCCGTCCCTGCCGGTGCGCCTCGGCCCTGCCCCACCACTTGCGGCTCTCTGCCCTGGTAAGAGTGTCGCTGTCACTGCTGCCACTACTGCTCCTACTGCCTCTGCTGCCATTGCTGTCACTGCTGCCACTACTGCCGCTGCAGCCATGTCTACCCCCAATGTCCTTACCTTTGATGCTAGAGCCGTGCTGTTGACTTTGAGGTCTGGGTCGATGACCTCCAGCTGTTCCTACAGTGCGATAGGGCAGACGGACTCTCTCTGTTCGATCTCACCTCTGGTGACTCTCCTGCCCCGCCTGCTTCTGCTGACAGCACTGTTCGCTCACAGTGGGCCACACGCGACGCTGCTGCTCGCCTTGCTGTGCGTCACCACTTACCGACCACTGAGCGTGCGCACTTTAGCCAGTACAAGAGTGCTAAGACCTTGTACGACGCTGTAGTTGCACGCTACTCCTCCCCTGCCACTGATGCACTTAGCCGCCTCATGCTGCCGTACCTGTTCCCTGACCTTGCTGCCTTTCCCACAGTCGCTGATCTCATTACGCACCTTCGCACTAGTGACATTCGCTACCGCGCTGCGCTTCCTACTGAATTCTGTGCCAAGAACCCCCCCCCCCATGTACATCACCCTTTACTACATAGTCACCCGCCTCCCTGGCTCCCTTCGCTTAGTCAGGGACCACTTCCTCTCAGTTGGCCCCACCACACTCACCGTTGACCTCCTCGAGGAGCGTCTCCTAGCAGCAGAGAAGAGCATAGTCGCTGTAGGAGCCTCTCGTGGTGACCCTCGCACCCCCGTCTTTGAGGGGTGTTCCCCCTCCCCCCTCTTGCCCTCTGTTGCTTCTGCTGTTACGGCCTACCTCGCTGGTTTCGAGTCGGTCGGCGCTGCGTCTACCCCTAGCGGGAGACGCCGCACCGGCAAGGGCAAGGGGGGCAAGGGCGCTGGGGGGGCTGGCGGGGGCAGTGGAGGTGGTGGTGGAGGCAGTGGAGGGGGTGGGGGTGATGGTGGGAGTGGTGGCGGGGGGGGAGGTGTTGGTGCCAGCACTGGAGGCGGTGGAGGCGGCGGAGGCGGAAGAGGGAGCGGAGGCGGGGGAGGTGGTGGAGGCGGCGGAGGTGGCGGGGGTGGCGGAGGCGGCGGCGGCGGCGGTGGAGCTGGTCGTGGCTCTGCGCAGAGGAGTGGGTCGGGTGGTGGTCCGCGCCAGCAGCAGCAGCGC